TGACGATTTCCACTTGAGGTAACTTTTAGGAAATACTGCAACTTAAAGCGTCCCTAGCACTGCTTGATAAATGTAGAGGGGCAATATGGTACATGCGCCAACGGGCCGTCCATCCGTGTCAGCCACCGCACTTCACTCAACCTCAATTTGATTTGAATTTTCTACATAATTCAAAATCTCTGTTGGCTAAAATGTTATTCAAATAGGCAATCAACATGTTTAAAACATTGCTAGAAAATTAATGATACCTCTATCCATGTATACTTTGCATTCTGCATTACACGGATCAGGATCGATATAATTCGAGATAGGTATGTGAATCACAGGCGCCATTTACGCCTCCGCTCATTTGCCCCACCCGTATAGCCCCTATTACTACCGGTCCCGTAAGACGGGTAGCTGGGAATTTTTAGGTACCGGGAGGGCTACCAACTACCATCTAAACCAAAACCTAAAATCACTAGTTTTGATGAACACATGAACAACGTTGCCTATGCTTCTCATAGACTACATGAACTATAATTAATGGTAACTGTCGGCGTTACCTACTAGGAAGATAGAACATACGCAAACACATTTGCGGTCGTTGGCCTTACGGCACCAAGGACCGATATTTTGGTCTCCGCGTGTGGATGCTTATTTCCCTGCCACCGAAAGGGACCTGGTGCTGGCTTTAAGGCACCTATCGCGGTTATTTCCTGCCAAACACTATTTAAGATGGAATAGGAAGTTAAGAATCGGTAAGCATTAATTGATGTCCTAGTCTGCCGCAAAAACTGTGGCGATATATACCGAATGCATTCAGGAAAGCAAAAAATATAACTCAAACTTTACCACCTTAGACTGCATAGACTTATTTGCGAAATAATGTGGCATTGGCTTGTTGAAATGTGACGCAGCAAATAAGAAGACAGGATTGCTGCTTTACAATATCACTGGGGGGTACTTGGAAAGAACGCTTGCTCGCACAACTTCTTCTATTGTTGCATGCGCTAACGAAAAATCGGACACTCCCTGACCGATTCGCAATTTTAGCGAGCGTTCTTGTACGTGAAGAACGCATCGGAAGGCGTCAGCCGCCTAAACACAGCTCCTGACATTGGAGTTACACGCAGACCAGAGGTACTGCGGGTGGGCTAACTCATGACATGTCAACCGAAATTCCGAAATGACCCTTTTTCAAAATGGTTAATCAAGTAGGGTTGTATAACTAATTATCATTCAACATATTTCTATAATATTTCAGCAAACACAAGATGTCGGCTTTCGAACGGACGTCTTTCCATACGCATAGAAAAACTGTCCTCTATAAAAGATGGCTACTTAATTAGCATGCATTTTTCTCATTGATTTTCGACGCCCCTAAAAGGGAAATCATATTTCATGGGAAACATAAATAAAAATATACATTATTTTGCTCAATCGGTGGATGATTTCGCCTTACACTAATTTTATACTCGATGGAGGGACACAATTCTGTTTTAAAAATGCTTCTACTTGTATGGCTTTTAAATACTACGAAATGGCCGATAATAAATCGTCATGTCTCAGCGTTTACCAATGTGGCTTCTAAAGTTAACAATATGGATCAAATCCAATGCTTAATTTTATTAACTCTATATGGTTTCTCTTTATTACCGTAGTGGAATATGTGCTTTTCCATGGGCGGTAATATGCGGCTCGTAGTTTGGGAACCATGAATCTAATTGTAACGGTAGAAGGGATTCAAAATCGTTCTGCAATAGGAGACGTTTTTGATAACTGAACAACAGTAGATGTGCTAACTCATGAAATGTCAACCAAAATTTCGACATTCGTTCTCGTTTCGAAAAGATAAATTAAGTAGTGTTGTAAAACTGATCATGATGCAGCATAAATCTATAATGACCCAGTTACCTCAGAATGTCGGCTTTCGAACAGACTTCTTTACGGCAAAATGCAAAAACTGCACTCAGTAAAATTAGCTACTTAAGTAGCATGAACTTTCTTATCGATGTTCGATGCACCTACGAATTCAATAATATTTCATGTAAAACATGCATAAAAATACATATTATTCTGCCCATTCTGTGGATAATTGCGTTTTCCTTTAATTTTATACATGAAGGAGGGACATTATTGGGTTTTTAAACAGTTTCTAATTGTCGGACCTTTAAATACCGTAAAATGGTCGTTCATAAAACGCCATGTCTCTGCATTTACTAATGTGGCTTGTAAAGTTAACACTATGGATCAAATCCAATGCTAACTTGTAAAAGCCCCATATGGTCTCCTCTTAATACCATAGATAAACGTGTGGATTTCCCTATGCGAAAAATATACGGCTTGTGGTTTGGAAACCCTGAATGCACGTGTAGCGGAAGGTCGGGCTAACAATTATGTGGGAATTGGAAAAGTTTTTTAAAACCGAATAATGCCCTTACTTTGAGTATAAGGTTGGAAGAGAACTTAATTTTCTACCGAATGCATTTTTAAGGGAATTGAAAATCAATGAGAAATAATCATGTTAATTAAGTAGTCATTTCTAAGTGTGTAGTTTCGGCATGCAGCCAGAAAGATGCTCATTCGAAAGCCGACATCCATAGATAACTGCATTTTTATAGAAATATACTGCAAACTGATTAGTTTTACAACCCTACATAATTAATCTTTTCAAAACGAAAACTTATTTCGGAATTTCGGTTGAAATTTCACGAGTTAGCCCATGTACTGTATCGTTAGCAAGATAGGCGCGTGTGTATCTCAGAATACTAAAGCTGAAATTCATTTATACGAAGAGGTTTGACAGAGATGGAAGGATACGTTTTATTCATGTTAATAACTTGTACACGGAATATTGCATATGTTACTGCTTTATCATCATGTTTGATATCGTATAGACATTTTCATGAAATGAACATTTTTATTTTCTCTCGGGTTTTTCGATCCAGATTGCGTGAGGCTTACCAAACATTCGGCGGATACGTTGCACTGAAACTGCGCGGCATCACATTGAAGACAACCACCGACATTACTTACTGAAAAAAGGAAAACGATCGACCAAATTATATCCAGTCTAAAATTTCCCAAAACGCTCTTAGGGATACATTGACCCTGATTGATCAAAATTGGCAAAAATGAATGCCAGCGGATTTTGGTGTCTCAGGTGAGGTTTTCTGGCCTTTCCATATACAGACTGCCGTTAGTAACTTCCAGTAAAGCGAAAGTCTTCAAACGACGAGGTATTCATTGTTTAATAATAATAGGCAATTGTACTTCCGTTTTTGACTCTTATTTTGTGCAAATTGCTGCCTCCACTTGAGTTACGTATATACATCATGTTTTTTTTCTACGGGAAGTTAATGAACTGGGAAACTTGTCTGTAAACTTTGCGTCTGGGCAAAACTTTCCGCGTCTTTCTGAACATGGGACCAATACGTCACAGTCTAATTTAAAGTGCAGAAAAGAGCCAAATGTCATAATTCACTATAGATTAGGGTGCTTGGTAGCTATTGAGCGGACAAATAGACTATTTTGAGTTCGGGAAGCCATTAATTAAGTGAAGAAGAAGATTCAATCTTTGGAAAAGGAATTTCACCGACCTAACGCCTTCCACTCTCACTGCGTTTAATCAGTAAAATGATTGAGCACAGCGTGTCTCAGCTGCCCGCAGATGGGAAAGGCTTTCCTTTCGAGAGGCGCCTACACTCCCGCAGATTTGGTTTCGGTACAAGTATTTGAAAAATACCCTGTTGTCGTAATATGTTCCACGCAAACCTCCAGTAGAAATGTAGTTGGCGAGGGGTGCGGTATTTTGTCGCGTAAGACAAATGATCTGGATTTCGTTTCAGAACTGCCCTAAGGGGTTCGCTTATACCCTCAGTGGATTGGCCAAGAGAATACGAGTTGTTGCAAATACATAGACGACAACGACACAGGACTGCTTCAACAGAGGATGACAGACGGAACCCAAGAACTGGAAACTCTTCGTGAGACTGCATTACGGAACGCGTTTCATGAGCTACCTTATCTGACAACACCAAAAATACGGCAAACTGGTGCAAAACCTGCTTTCTAGGACGCCAACAGAGGAACAAATGCAGATGTTAAGGAACGAAGCCTGATTGAACACAGCTGATTCCAAATCTGTCAACATGGTTAAAGCAGTAAAGCAGTCAACCCTATCTATTTTTGCGTTCCGTACAGGCATTTATAAAAAATAAAGTGCTAGCTTTCCATATCCTACATGGCCTGAACAGCTGATGTATCTCCAATTATTTTTGCTCGTGGTACCACGCACATTTTGCTCGGTTATCCAAAAAGACGGCTTTTTCTTCTGTAACTGAACGCTCCTCACGCTTATGTTTTTCTGGCCTCCTGTTGGAATTCATTTAATGCCAATTTCGACAAACGTCTTATGTCTCGCCAGCCACATTCGCACTCAATACCCGCAATGATGCGCAAATTAAATTGCGTATGAATGTACTACTTGAACCCCTAAGTAGGAATTAGCGATGCACTCATTAATGCAAAGAACTACCCACCTGTGGCATGCAATCGTGAGATTAATTTTCTTTTTAATGTTGTGAATGTGTCGGCTCTTCTTTCTTTTGTATTTTCTTAACTTTTTTAGATGACCATCAGCAGGTAGTTCAAATATGTTAACCGATCCTGTGTTTACAAAAATGATCTGAATTTAAAACTTCGCCTAGACGGGTGCGAGAGAGGAGACGAAAAACTTTAGCAGAAACAGGGCGTTGTAGCTCCTCATGGCTCGTCGGTTGTGTAAAATCATCCCCAATGTCAAGAGTGGAGTAAAAATAGAACTGAAGAAGAACAAAGAACTGGATGTCGGGCTTGCGGTAAGGGACCTTCCACTGCCAATAGAAGCGAAGAGATGAGTCCCAGGAAGTAGTCTTGAAGAAGGAGACACGATCGCCGGAAAAAGAGCTTTATTAGTCTGACGTTTCGGATTCCTACTCGAATCCATCATCAACACGGCTGACGCCAAATCTGTTAACATGATCGCAGCAGTGAAATCAATCCTTTGTCAGACGGAGGCAACGGAGGAGACTAAGAGTCTCATCCAACACCAAGTGTCGTCTCTCCTGATGGCCCACAGGCCGCGGGAAGTGCTTTCCAAGGTCGAACCTAATGCGCTTAGAGAACTCAAGGCCGATGAAGACGTGGTCATCGTGCCAGCGGACAAAGGAAGCGCCACAGTTGTACTGGACAGGACAGACTACCTTCAAAAAGCCAAAGGTTTACTGGAGGACCTGCAGTTCTATGTCCCATGTGCAACGAACCCTGTAAAGGCGCTGACACGCAATATTAATGCTACGTTGTTGGCCTTGGAGAACTCAGGTGCAATAATACCGACCGACAGACGCATGGCGAGACCCCAAGTTACGGCTTTGGCCCGATTCTATGGCCTGCCTAAGGTGCACAAAGACGGCGCTCCTCTCCGACCCATCGTGGTACTCTAACGTACCGACTGGCTAAGTGGCTGTTCCGGCGTCTTAAATTCCTGACCGCTGAGTCAGACACCACGGTCTCTACGTCAGCACAATTCCTGGGGAAACTCAAAGGGGTAAGCATCCATCCAAATGAGGTCATGGCATCTTTTGGTGTTACATCCCTTTTTACTTCTATTCCCCAGGACCTGGTGATCGAGACAATTGAGCTGCTTCTACAAAGCAAATACGATGAATCAGAGAGCCGTCTTGGGGACGCCCAAATCCTTCAGCTCCTAAAGCTCTGTCTCAGGACGTACTTCACGTGCAACGGGACAATCTACGAACAGGTGAAGGGCACACCAATGGGTTCGCCGATTTCGTGATTCATCGCCGAGGCGGTCCTGCAACGGTTAAAATCGCTGGTCTTCCAACACCATAGACCGAAATTATGGGCCCGGTATGTGGATAATACCTTCGTCGTCATCGAACGGGATCAGGTGTTGACATTCCTAGAACATCTCAACGTCGTCTTCCCGGACATTCAATTTACGAATAGGGAGGAAGAGAACAACCAACTGACCTTCCTGGATGTCCTCGTATGCAGCAAAGATTGTGGTGAACTAAAAACCAAACTGTTCAGGATGCAAGTACTGAACTTCAACAGTAACCACCCAATCAGCCACAAACGCAGTTGTGTAAGGACGCTCTTTCGGCGTGTCGAAACGCACTGCAGTGAGCCGGAAGACAAAATTGCCGAACTACAATACCTCCGACGGGTCTTCAAAGCCAATGGCTACCCGCACCACTTCGTCGACCGGTGCATAGGCAAAAGGGACGAAAAGCCAAACCGCACGGACGGCAAGTCTTGGCAGGCACTTCCGTATGTCAAGAACGTTTCGGAAGCTGTCGGCCGCCTTCTCACACCACTTGGAATTGGAGTAGCACACAGACCGGACGCAACCATCAGGCGTCTGTTCATGAAACCGAGAGACCCGCTGCCACGGCTAAAAACGTCTGGAGTCTTATATAGGATTTGTTGCAGTTACGGACAAAGCAACTACGTCGGAGAAACCGGAAGACAGTTCCGAATGAGAATGGCCGAACACACGGCAGCGGTGCGTAGAAATGACGCCAGCTATCAAGTTGCGGTTCATTCGACGAGATTTGGCCGCACATTTAAATTCGATGAGGCCGAAATTCTCGCAAGAGGTGACAACCGAGTGACCCGAGAGCTACTGGAATCATGGTTTCCTGGCCCACAGTCCATCAACAAGTGCAACGATATTCCCACTCCATACTGCGTGCTAAAACTTTGCCTAGGGGAGTAACAAGCCATGCGGGGAGTGCAGAGATGAACACTTTTTCCAACACCGGGGTCGGTGCGTCAGATGGTCGAGAAATCATCACGGCAACACCCAACGCACGTGATGAAATTGCAGCAATTATCGACTCGAATGTCGGCCATCGAGCAGTGATCACACCAAGTGCGACGGTGCCGGATGAAGGGGGGAGCCGTGAACGTTCATAGGTATGCGGTAGCATGGCTACGGCATTCTATGAATACCGCAGCCCCTTGTGCAGCAACCACCGTTTCTGCTTTTTTGTCTCTGATGATGGATTCGAGTAGGAATCCGAAACGTCAGACTAATAAAGCTCCTGTCCCGGCGATCGTGTCTCCTTCTTCAGGACCTTCCACTGTCGTATTTGACATGACTGACAACATAAACATTAATGAAAATGTGATTCTGAGGTAGCATATCAAAAGAAAATGTGCCCTCTCTAACCAATCGTCTCACTCCAGTGCAAACCCACATACAGGCTTTCAGACCAGCTGTTGCAGAAGCCAAGATTTCTAAACGCTTTCTTGCATACAACAGTGCCCTTAGCAGAACAATTTGTTGACAACATGAAGGTGGTCCTGTTCGAACCGAATGAATGGATGGCGTCATTTGATGTTATCTCACTCTTTATGTCCGTACAACAGGTTCTCGTGATCAAAACGCTTCGTGACCTGCTACGTCAAAATTGCAATGAGGACAATGGCCAGTCCACCGTTCAGGATCATCCAGAACTCATGGGACACTGCCTCATGACATTCCTTGGCTTCGAATTTATCACAAATGAGCAAAATAAGGGCACTTTGATGGGTTGACCAATTTCCGGACTTACCGCCGAAGCGATTCTGCAAAAACTCGAGGGGCCACCGTATGAGAAGTACGAATCCAAGTTTTGTGAGCTCTTCGTTGATGTCATCTTCGTAAACATCGAACAGGATAGAATGAACTACTACGAGGAGCTAATGAACTCAAACACTTCCGATCTACATTACACGATGGAAATGGAAGCGGAAGACGTCGCTCTACAGAAGATCGACGAACACGTTGAAAATGTTCAGTTGCAAAAGCAACCACCCACTGCAGCAAAAAAACAAAGATGCGTCCGCAAGCTATATCGGTGGGTGGAAACTCGTTGCAGCACGCAGTCACCAAAGTGGACTTGATGAAGTTCCTCCATGAACTCTTCAGGTCAACGGCTTTCCGCAAACTTTCGGTGAACGGGTACGAAGGATAGCCACGAGAGCTAAATAAAAAGCCTGGCCAGCCAAAGACGTGGCGGAGCATCAGGTACATGAAAAGGGGTCTCCGAATCCGTGGTTAGATCCCTCGCGCCATTCGGAATAGGAGTTGTCCACAGGTCCGCCAGCAAGTCATGCGGCCAAAAGACGCGAATCGTAAGTAGAAAATGTCAGCCATTGTCCACGTCTTCAATGAAATCGCGGGAATGGCAGCTACGTTGGGGAAATCGGCCGGCGGCTGCAAACGCGAATATTCGAGCAGGTCGGAGGTAACAACTCATGCCGCACAAATGGAACACATCTTCAACTTTGACGCCGTTGACATTGTGGGTCGGGGCGATGATCATATAAAAAAGCAGATGCAAGTAGCCTGGATATCAGCCGACTGCTCTGTCAGCCGTCACTTCTTGACGGGGACAGTCATGGCATGCAACAGTCGTAGCCGTCAACTTTCTCCATGGCCTCGTGACACCCTAATATATGTCCCATTATGCAAATGTCTTTATTCAACTCTCGTGTTAATACTGTTTTTCATCAGCCCAAATAAGCTCTTCTAGTAATTAATTTTAAAATTCCGACCTCCACCGACAAGTGGCAAGTTGTAAGTCTCAAAAAGACAAAGTGTTCACTTCAAATGCTCAATGGCCCAATGAAATCGGATTTAGTATCTGGCTTAGGGTGTCGAAGATCAATGACTGTTTGGTCATCAACCACTGAACGCCTAATATACAGCCGTGCATTTCACGTTCACAAGGACAAGATGAATTTAAGAAAAATTATCAAATTATTCGGTCTAGATAAGAAGACCAAATAACCAAAGTAAAGCCTTTGAAGTTTCATAGAGAATTTGGAGATGTTGCACATATTGCCAGAATTTCGAGATGAGATTAAGTGAGAAGTAAAGAATGGTCATTCAAATGTACGACTGAATAATCTGAGCGAAGCACAAATATCGGAACTGCCTTGAGATTCAGCGTTCAAACTTTCAACAAATAAAAATATTTTGGAAGTGTTGACAATGTGGGTAAAAGCCAAGGACATCTAATACAAAACTGTAGCCTATGGTGATAAGAAAACAGGGTCAGACTCCAGTATTATAGACGGTCTCGCGTACAAATACAGGGGCTGAGAAGGCCCATGTGCTAATTTGAACCCTAACCATAGCAGTAACCCTAACTGTGCGAGCCCAACCATAATCTTAACATATAGCTCTTAAAACCTTGACACTATGATAGATGGGAGCTCACCGATCGGGCAACGGAATGTGCTCGTTCCCGTTACCGATTTTGGGCTTAAACGTAAGCCCTTGAAGGCATTCCTACAGCGACTAGTAGTATAAGTAAGTAAAGTGGTACCGACAAACACAAGGGAGGCCGATAACACCCTAATTACCTATACTACTAGTCGCTGTGCGGCTGTCTGCAAAGGTCCCCCTTTGAGCCCCAAGGCAAAATGAGCCGAGCAGGTTCCGTAATCCGACCGGTGAGAGTCCATCTACTACACTTAATAATCCCGATCAGAACCAATGGGTCAACAGGCCCGTGACTCACTGGTAGTGTCAAACGTCCGACCAAAGATCCAGGACTTAAGGTTCAAATGAACCACACTTGGGTTCGAGGACGCCAAAAAAGCCGGAAATGGCGATTTCGGTCTCCCTTGCCGTTGTCGCCATCACCTTACTCACCTTGCTCGGGCAAGGCCAACCGAAAAAAAGTAAGCTGATGCTTATTCTAAAACAGATTGGGCGTTGATTGTAGAACAGGCTGATTGCAATATCAGGGAGTGCCAAAGTTGACCAACAGTCCTTCGCTAACAAAAATATCCACCAATTCTCATGCCATTTTTTACTATTACTTTCTGTTAGATCGAGGATTACACGGAGATAAAAATTAAAACCGGAATACGGATGAGTGAACAGTGTTTTGCAAATACTCGGGGTTCCACCTAAGAGGTGACTAAATAAAGGCACCAAGTTGGGAGCAAGATAGGAGAAAATAGTCAACAAATGCTGCTTCAAAAAACTTTTTTGATTCAGTGCCGACATTTCACCCAAGCAGACCTACATTCATAGGTTTAACGATCTTCCTATTTAAGTAGTGAGGCAAACCCGATGGAATCAGTTTTTTGTGACATGTGAAATCGTGCATATACATCTTTCAGTCATAAATATCTCGATATCCTACCTGAGCGATTCTTGCTATTATTTACTAGAGGAACAAAAGGAATTATTAAAAAATTAAAAACGTCCAAGTGGAGACCAGTTGTTTCCGAATTATACCTAATATTATGCGCCATTAAGGGCCAAGCTCATTTACAAAAATATGTCTCAGCATTTCCTTTGATCATCATAGATCTTCAGTAAAAACCTCATTGACAGTCTCGGGCAGATTATATTCCTGTGGTTACTCGACAAACAAAAACAAATTCCTGCCTTTAGTCAAGTCACGAGTTTATACGCAAGGATAAAACGCAGCAGCCCATAATAAAAAAGTTAGTCTATGGCGCGAGGCTTTTCGTATTTTAGCAAGATGCGAATCATTCGATTCTCATTTTCGCATAATTCGCACAAGGCCATAATAAATCGCCGCCCCAATGAGCATTGGGTCATCTAACGCTGAATTACGTTGATTGTGGAAAATACATTTATTCATTCCATGGGCATTTGGAATTGTTGAACGAAAAGGTTGAATTGGTCATCAAAGTTCCTGTTTTGTTTCATATTGTCGAATTTTGCTTTTTTAAAAAGAGTTAAATTCTCGGAAACAAAAGTTCTATACCTACCACAGGTGACTGAGGCGTGCCTAAACA